TCACAGCTATGTGCAGCTTACTTGAAGTCATGTAATTTGGTCCCAAAGAGCCTGAAAAGCCTGTCATAGAAAAGGCCAGGCATGGCAGCACATACCTATAATCCTAGTACTTGAGGGCTGAGGCAGGAGAATTGCAAGGCCAGTCTGGGTTACATGAGTTCATGTAGAACCTAGGCTATATAGCAAGACCTTGTCTCAAACAAGTAGACAGGGACTGCTGCTCCACAGCTGCTGCCTTCCTTCCCAGCTGCCGAGCCACATTCTGCTTCATCTTATCTCTTATCCTGAGAGGCTGTGCCTCAGCATGTACAAGAGACCCCACTAAGAAATTCAAGTGAAGGTTCAGGTATAGAGCTCTGGCTAGCATGGACAAGGCCCAAGGTTCCATCTGTGACACCACAGGGTAAAAAAGTAGGGAAGGACAGAATTTCCAAGAGGAGAAGTGGAGCTGTTGAGTTGGCACCACAGTAGCAAAGGTTACATGCTGAGGAGAAACCATTCAGAAGCAAGCAGCAGCACCTGAGCATACAACAGCACCTGGCTATGCTCTCACTGTCACTGACAAGCGTGTATCCAACCACAGGGCCACAAGGAGCCCAGACTTCTAGCACAGGACAGACATTGGTAAAAGACAGACATAGAGCACAGGACAGACATTGGCAAAAGACAGGCACAGAGCACCTTTGTCTACCCACACAGGGGCTGGGTAGGAACTCTCTTCTAAGTGCCATCTGCTAGAAATGGCAAAAGTCTTGGTCACTAAGGTGACCAGAGGGTAAATCTGCTCAAACACACATTTGTGAGTTTCTCCTCTAGGAGCTCCATAGACTAAAGTCTGACTACTGGAAATACCCTTATCTGCATGTCTGTAGTACAACAGCTACCAGACATTCTTTCTGCAAAGATATTATCCTTAGTATTGACCTGGAGGGACCGAGCCTCTCAGCTCTATCTTCCTATTATCCACATGGAGAGGAGAAGACAGCTGGAGTTTCACTTTCTGTCCCTGGAATTCTGCATCTACCACAGGAAAAACCAACACTTTGGATAACAGTCCTCACTCTTGGGCCATGGCAGACAGAATGGCAGGGACGCTCTGGCCTCAAAGTTTATCTCAAGTGCTCCAGGAGGAGTCTTCTTCCTGTAGCTCAAATTAAGCTGCTTCTCCTTATTTCTATAATTGTTCTTACTTTGTGAATTGTTTCCAAAATCCTAGTCCTCTGCTAACAATTCCTTCTGCCTTTTCTCTTAGTGACTGACAACCCCGCCTAAGATATAAGAGCTCTCTCTCTCCATCCCTTAGATTAGAACTTAAAATAAATGTCACATTTTACTTATTCACTACGGGGTTCCTCTTCCACTGGTGAAACTCCCCTGCTAGAATAGAAAGCCAATTATTCATTCAAACCTTAGGCTCCTTATGATGAAGCGAGGAATTTTTGTCTGTTTTGCACCCTGCTGCAGTTTCAGAATCTAGAACTGGGCCTAGCACAGAATAATTTGTTGAATAAATGAGCAAGAGAGTGAGTGAGTGAGTGAGTGAGTGAGTGAGTGAGTGAGTCAGGGGTTCCAGACCTGTTTCATATTCTGCAACTGGATCCTGCACTCTCTACTCACACCAGACACTGCAATGGCATCTCAACCCTTCCTGACTCCAGACAATCTCCAGGTTGGTTCCAGAAACTTGAAAGGCTATCTCTCCTCCAAATCATGAACCCTAGCCATGACCCACCCCAGCCTCTGAATAAGTCTGACATGGAGTCTCATCAGGGTATCTTAATGCTGCTCACATCTGCCCTCTCATCTCCATTGGCACTGCAGTTACTTTCCCTCGGGCCACCACCCCCTCACCAAGGATTTGCTCAAACAGCACATTAATCTCTAGGCTCACACCCTTCTAGGCTATAATCCCTAGAAACTGAGTTTTCCAAAACTGCAGTTCAGATCACCTAGGTCTTGTACATAAGTCCGATCAGTGGATCCCTCCCACCTTTGGTAGTTTGGATCAAACCAAAACTCCTACTTAGGCCACACACCACCTTCCCAGTCCCAGTGAACCAGGTCCAACTGTCCAACCCCACTGAGAAACAAGAAGGTCAGCCTCTGCCTGTGCTATCCACTCTGTACTCAGTGCTCCCTCTTTGTCCATTGGAGAGTTGGGCTTGATCTTAGGAGTCACCCAAGTATATGCCCTTCCCAAAAATGTCTCCAACACATGGAACACAAATCTGCAGCAACTCTGACAACCAGGAGTTCACTGGGATCAGGTACTGTCGTGGGGTCCATGATGGTATTCACAGTGCCAGATACATATTCAAGAGTTATAATCTCTGTGTGTGTCTCTGTATGTGTGTGTGTGTGCGTGTGTGTGTGTGAGTGTGTGAGAGAGAGAGAGAGAGAGAGAGAGAGAGAGAGAGAGAGAGAGAGAATGTGAAGAAATAAGGGATCACTACCCTTCCACAAGGCCGGTTCAGATTCATTAGGCAGAAGCAGCCTCCTGCTTTCTGCCACAATTCCAGAATCCCCTGCTCATCCCACTGGCATTCCCTTCTTCAGAGTCCCTCACTGGGTACTTTTAACGATATTAGAAGGAAGAGGGATAAGAAGTGAAGAAAGCTACACAGAGAATCCCAGATACAGCCCAGAGTAGAAGCTGAGATAACTCACACCTAAGCCTGACCACACGGAGGGAGGCTCCACAGAGCTATCCTATCATCTCACATTAGCAATATGGCACATCAGAACGGTTTCAAAGAGGGAGCTGGGCAGATCTATGCTATTACTGGAGTCCTATCAACAAAGCTGTTCTGAGCTGAAAAAGGAAAAAAACAGTCTCAGAAAAATGGTTCAAGAAGGGAATACTAAATATAAAAACTAATAACAGTTCGTCTAAGTCTTGTTTTTATTTTAAATCTCAGAAGCCGAATCCATCTAAGCCTTCTATCTTTTTTCCTTCCCTTCATTTTTCCTTCCATGCATTTATAAACTTTTTCTTTATAAATAACGTTCACAAAATTTTAAGTTAATTTACACTATTTGAAAATTTAAAATTAAAAATTTTAAATCCTCAAGAATTACCTTTTGGGGGGCAGGAATCTTTGAGACTAGACCTATAAGTTGAAAATAAAAATTACCAATAAATTAACAAACATTGGTATTTCCAAAGATTGGATGACTTAGCAACTTCCAAATATACCTACTAACTACAACTTTTTAACTTTGAAGTTCAAGTACTGCACCATACAAAGTACACCTTGCAAAACTGCCATCACTGTCCTTTGACCAAACATATCTGATAATTATGTACATAAATAATGGTGGTCCAGTACTATAGCCTAGAATCAGTACCATGATCCCTGACAACAGAGCCTACAATGACAGGTCCTAAAGATGCCAAAATGTCAGGGAGGACTTACATCCACTGACACCATCAGGCTCAAGAGCAAGTGACACACTCCTCCTAATCGGAAAGACACTTGTCATAGCAGAATCTTTCCAAGGGAACTGCAAAGTGTCACTAAAGACCCCATTAACACAACATTCAAATCTCTCTAGATGAAGGAAATTCACATGTGAAAATTTTCCTACTATGTCCATAAATTTGTAAACAACTAACAAATACAATAAAGAAAACTCAGGAGAAAGAAAATTCACCTTGGCCAGATAAGAAGTAAATAAATGACATGGGGCACTCAGATCACAAGCCAGAGAGAGAAAGGGCTCATTCAACACACAGTAGGGCAAATGGCCAATGCAAGCCCAACTCAGCCTCTCATCTCTGGTTTAAACTATTTCTCCCCTGTCTGATTTAAACCATCACTTCTGAGGATTCTCTCTCCCAGGATTTTGAGCTATGTAATTATGCAGCATGTAGGCACCACAAAACACAATACAGCTTTAAAATATAGCTCTTAAAAAATCGACATTACAATTTCTACATACTTCTAAAGTAAATGTTCTCTCAATCCTGCAGATTTATAATAAAATATAAGAACTATTTAAATTTGTAGGGAGGGGGAAAGAAATGTAGCAGATTACTTAAAATTTTTGTTTTGCATCCCACTAATTTATACACCATTTTCCAAGCTTCAAAGACTTTTATTTTATATAAAAGTAAGAAAATAAAATAAGAAGCAACCAGGTAAAAACACCAAGAACAGCAGTTAGGAGTTTAAGATTAGGGACAACGAGCCAGACACAAATCTGAGGGTTGGGGGTAAAGACGAAGAACTCCTGGGTGCCTTCGTCACTTTCAAACCACCTGGTGGCTTGCAAAGTTCCAAGAACTAAAATGTTGGGATTGTATGAAGCAAGACAGACACCATGATAACAGAGCTTCATTAAACAAACAAAAGCTGAAAGCTGGAAATGCAAACTGAGAGGGAGAAAGAGAGACACACACGCACACAGAAAAGGGGGGGGGGAGGCTCAGGCAAAAAGCACTGCACATTGAGAGATATGTGATGCTGTGTAATTCTCCTGGGTCCTGAAGGGCAGAATCAATTTCCTACCCCTATTTTGATAAGCAAAGTGAAGCCCAGAGAGGAGAAAAGATCTAGTGTCCACAGTTTTGTCAAAAGGAATGAGAAAACGCCTGCATGGACTCAAGGGTGCCAGATACAGTAAGGCAATTTCTTTAAGTGCTAAAAGATTCTGACTTCCACGGGGCTCGATACCCTTACACTCATGGGACTTTGCCCCAGAATTTCAGAGATATCAACAGCCAACTGGTAGTGTGTGCATTTTCAAAGTTCTCCTTCCTTCCAAAGGACTCATCTAGGTCAGCACTGTCTCAGTGTCCCTGTCTGCAGTACTACTAGCTCTGTGACATCTGACTCACTGGAGAAAAAGGCACACTGTTTTCCCCCATGGTCAGGTATTCTGAGACAGCTGAGCTGCCTCCAGACACTGATGCTGGAGAGAAGATTTTTAATTATTGTTCTTAGTATTATTAAACACAAATAAGATGGGGAAAGGAGATGTCAAAGAAATGCACATACCTTTCAACTGATCAGCAACCACACTCTGACCAAGGCGTTCGGTAACTCTCCCATCTTCCATTTCGTACCTATCATCTAAGTATTTTGCAGTGGCCTCAGATATGTGAACTTTGCCAGCTACTCCAAGCTGCTCCATGAGATTGGCCAAGTTCACATCATTGGACCATACGTCAAATTTAAACCTCCTCATGCCCAGGATGCCACACAAGACAGTCCCTGTGTGAACCCCAACACGCATGTTCACCATTTCTTTCTTCTCCTGGCAGAACTGCTCAATGGCTTTTATCATGCCCAAGCCCATTTCAATGCAGCAGTAGGCATGGTCTGCCCGAGGCTCTGGACATCCTGCCACACAATAGTAACAGTCTCCCAGAGTGCTGATCTTCTCGCATTTGGTCTCCTCACACAGCCGGTCAAAGCGACCGAATAGATCATTGAGGAGACCCACCAAGGCATGTGCAGACTTGTTGGCACTCATCTTGGTGAAGCCCACGATGTCTGCAAATAAAATACTGACTTCTTCAATCTGCTGCATTTTAAAGGGGCGGAATGCTATAGGAGCTTTCTGTATGGAAGACTTCTTTTTCCTGTTCTTAGGGCTGGAGGTGGCATGCCTCTTGATGGAATTCTCACTCTCCTCATCCCCCTGCTTCATTAAGTCATCAGCGATGATTCTTGGCATCACAGAATGAATCATCCTCTCTTTGAGAGCTTTTTCTACTTCCAGATCTTTGCCGTGCATAATGGATTGTCCCACCTTGAGGAAGGTGCTTCTGGACCTCACCTGAGACATGATGAAGAGATGGATCCCGATGGCATGGATGCACACATGGAGCAAGGCCCTGCTCAGCAATTCCCAGTGCAGGGCCGCAGGGCCAGGGGAAAGGAAGCAGTCTTCATTTCGGAAATGATAGCTGAAGGTCTCAAAAAGAACAGAATAGGCCACTCCCAAAAACAAGCTCAGATACAAAGGTAAGTGCATGACGGTGTAGAGCAAAAAGAGCACTTCGATGCACATGGAAAAGCTCCCCACTTGAGATAAGCAAGTGTCTGCCGCCTTGGCTGTGGGAGTATGATTGGAGCTGTCAACACGTCCTGACAGAGGCGTCCAAACCTGAAACTGGGCAGCCAGGGTCAAGGCGAACACCAGCAGGGTGAGCGCCAGCGAGGTCCACGCGTAATGCCGGGCATACAGCTTGGTGAAAGTAAACATAAAAAAACCCACGCACACCACCAGGAAGCACAGAGCGGGGACCACCATGACAATCAGCTTAGATCTCATGTGGACAGAGAAATAGATGCTCCAGAGAAGGCAGGCAAAGCCCACGTAGAAGAGTGCGTACCGGAAGCGGCGCTGGGTCTGCGGGAAGCAGCGCTCCAAGCAGGCCTCCTCCAGGTTCACGGAGTCGAACTTGGGATCCCACCACCGGCTGGAGGCCCTCTCGAACAGCTGGGGCAGCTTCTTCTGCCGGCGCAGACGGCTCCCGCCGGCCACCCGCCTGGGAAGCCCCCCGGAATCCCCCGAGCTGCTACAGCTGGAGGAGATGCTGTACTTGCAGTGCTTGGGGTGGATGTTGGAAGACAGCTGTTTGGGGTTGATCTTGACCCTCACGCTGTTGCTGTCTCCGCTGGAGTCGCAGCTCACCTCGGTGCTGTGGTGATGCAGCAGCTGCTGGTGGGGTGAGGAAGCCATGTTGCCGAGCTCCTGGAACCTTTCCCGGACGGGTCAGGGGTACCTGCGGGCAAAACCACGAGAGTTAGAGCTGCCTTATTACACACACGCCCGGAGGACCACGTTACCTGTGCCATGTTGCGAATGCGGGCTCTGGCGAGCAACTTGGGAAGGCACCATATGCTCACAAAAACTGCCGACAAAGGCGAGAAAAAGCGCCCACGAGCCCCACCTCCCAGGCGAGGGAAAATCGCTCGCGCCGTACCTGGTGTTCCGGGGGTCCCGGGCCGCAGCTGCCCAGGTTCCTCAGTCCGGGACGCGCCGCGCTTCCCTCGGGCGCCGTCGCCCGCTGGTGGCCTCTGCGCGGCGCGCCTCCAACTACGGCTCCAGAGGGAAGTTCAGACCTTGAGCGCTCCCGGCGCGGGGGGCCGCTTTCGCAAAAACAACTCGGCCGGAGGCGAGCAGCGCTTCATCCTGCCGCAGCGGCGCCCGGTGCGTCAAAGCGCCAAAGCGCGCGGGCCGACCTGCAGCTCCTGCGGCGTCCAGTCCCCGCGCCGCCAAAAACCACCGGCGACTCGGGCCCGCGTCCCCGCCCGCTCCGCCCGAACCGCGCGCCCCAGCCCGCGAGTCTGCGGAACCCGCGCGCCGCCGGTCGGAGCGGCAGGTCCAGCGGGGCCCAGGCCAGCAGCCGAACGCACCGCGCC